CTGTACTATCCTCCACCTACTCACACCAGAAAACCTGGAAAGCGTCATTGATTCACTCTCCATTAACTCTCAAGCACTGTAAATTCTGTCTTCCTAATTTCCCCTGCTTTCTATCTGTATTATAACCACTGTCTTATTCAAACAATTTACTTATTTAACCTAAATTGCAATAGAGTTCCTGTCTCCCTTTTTTCTCTTCTTGATTTCCCTACCAATCAATTGGCTCTACCACTACAGGTGACATTTTCAAAGTGTGAACTGGGCTTTTTCATTTACCTACTTTAAAATCCTCAAGAGGTTCATTAAACTCATTGGCAAAGGTATACAAATCCCCTAAGATATACTTAATAAATGAAGACAAGGTAAGCTGCCTTCTTCCTGCCATTTTCCTCCCTCCTTTTCTGTCCCTCCTCTACCTACATATGTACCCAAACAGAAACTATATGATACCGTTCATTTGCTGGAATCACCCAGGCCTTCTTAAAGCAATTAGTTTTAGCTGTACTGTTGCTGTCACCTTCTGCCCCCACCTTACACACTCATTGCCATTCTTCAGTACAGATGGCAGTTCTGCCAGAACCTCTCTCCCATCCCCCCACTACCTTTTTTTCCAAATCTGGAACTAGGTTTTTCTACCTGCTCCTTAGTAACACAGCAGCCAGTCTAGATCACTACTGTGACCCATTGCTTTCTATTCTGACACCTGGATGATCTATTCTCTTAACCTTCCTTTCCTTCATCTGGGTGACTTTGAAAACTTAATTCATTGTAACCCTTTAGTAAATCTTTGTTAAAAAAAAATTAATAGAATGCATTCAGTCTGAGATGTTAAGGAGTTTAATGAGATTATTTGAGTGGATTATCCTTTTTTTTTTGCGTTTACAGATAAAGCATCTAGGAAGTATGTAGCCTAATATATATAATATTTTTTTCTTTTTAAATTTTGTTTTTGAGGGGCTGGGATTTTAGCTTAGAGTGTGTAGAGTGCTTACATAGTTATATGTGTGACTGGGTTTCTATCTCAAGCATTGCAAAAAAAATTTTTTTTGGACAGTTTGTTACAGGGCTGTGTAGACACAATAATTAATAGTTTGTGGAATTTTATCATAAAAATTATATGTATCTATGCAAGATACATATACTTTTGAATTTTGGATCAAATTCTGTCAATGTTCTATGATTGCAATTATGTTTGTTATGCATAAGATAATTACCAATAAATTATTAATTGTTAATAAAATCATTCTTTACCCACAGAAATGATCATTTTCTTTTTTATGTTAAGACATTTGAATAACCAAACAATTTCCTGGAAATCAAAAATAAGAAATTGATGTTTTTTGTTAAAAGTGGGAAAAATTAGATGATTTATTTTCTGGAAAGTAAAATTAAATTAAAAAAAATTTTTTTTTTAGTTTTGTTGATGGATCTTTATTTTATTTATTTATACATGATGCTGATGATCAAACCCAGTGCCTCATATATGCTAGGCAAGTGGTCTACGACTGAGCTACAACAGCCCCAGTAAAATTAAATTTTCTATAACTAAGAAATCATTTTCCTTAATTCTCAGTTTTTTTTTTTTTTTTTTTTTTTTGGTACTGGGGATTGATCTCAGGGGCACTCAACCACTGAGCTACATCTCCACCCCTATTTTGTATTTTATTTAGAGACAGGGTCTCACTGAGTTGTTTAGCGCCTCACTTTTGCTGAGTCTGGCTTTGGACTTGCTATCTTCCTGTTTCTGTCTTTGGAGCTGCTGGAATTACAGGTGTGAGCCACAGCACCAGGCTCAATTCTCATTCTTGACACTTACTCTCCAGTCCATCAGTGTAATCATTCAGAATTTTTTTTTAACTTCTCTTTTTTTCAGAAGTGAACCAATCTCCTGTATTGCTCTTAAGCCATGCTAGATATTGGTTACAAAACTTAAGAACATCAGTAAGGTACAGATTTGCAATGTTACAGAACCATTTTTAAAATTGTTTCCAAAAATTGAATCTCATGTCATAGTAGAAGAAAAACTTTCCCTCTCTTTCTCTCTCACACACAGAAAAAGACTCAATGAAATAAAAGATTAAAAGCATACAGGGAAAAAAGGAAAGCAAGGTGAAAAGAGTATGAGAGGAAAATACATTTTAACAGCAGGGAATGACATGACAAGGAATAAAAGAATAAAATCGTTGAAAGACAGGTAGTAGAACTAGAAGTCAAAATTAATGACAAACATAAAAAGTCTGCCTACAGAAGACAGTAAATATATAGAAAGTGAAAGGATATGAATTTAACTTTTGATGACCCCAATTTTATAAATTGTTAAGAATGTCAGGATATTATTTTTTAGGTTGTGTTGTTTTAAAATTTTTCTTGAATTTAAAATTTGGAGATTTTTCATTTTCATAATTTTAAGGCATAGAGCACATCAATGTATCATTGATGCAGCTGTGTTCAACTAGTTTGGTTCAGCACACTGGGGCACTTGGTAACTGTTATCATGCGTAACAGCTGTGTTATGACACTGTTAGCTGAGAAGGATTTAATTAATTAATTAATTACATGCTCTCTCCTATACTTTTATCTTGGCACATAGAAGCTAAATAATTGAGATTGACACAAAAGTGTAAAATAAGGTGTGCAGTTTTCTTTCAAGTAAATTGTTGCTTTATTCTTAACTCTCAGCATCTCATGTTTCTAACTTTCAATGGCTATACTACCCTTTCCTCTTTTTTTAGCGTTCTCTTTCTGAGTCTGCTAATGATTGTAAATATTTTAGAGTTTTGAGTTGTCCAAATATGTGAGTAAAAATTTTCATAATATAAATATTAACCTGGAACATTAAAAGAATAAACTTCCTAGAGCCATGTTAATAGCAGATGATAAGGTCCAAATTCTAAACCAGATATATTCTCTCTCTCAAACTAATAATGTAACGATATAATTTTCTCATTTGGCAAAATGATTACAAATGTTCATGATGAATAATGATTTCATGAACAGATACATAACTCTGGAACTAAAGTAAGTGGCTTAATAGATTTTTTTTTTTTTTTTTTGGTACTGGGTATTGACCCCAGGGGCACCTTACTACTGAGCACATGCACAGCCCTGTTTAGTGACAGGGTCTTACTAAGTCCCTGAGGGCCTTGCTAAGTTTTTGATGCTGGTTTGTAACTTGCAATCCTCCTGCCTCAGTCTCCAGCATTGCTAGGATTACAGGTATGTGTCCCTGGACCTGGATGCTTAATAGTGTTCAGTGCATCTCAAGACATTTGATAAGATTTTGATATTTTGAAGGCACTGTGCTAGAAAGATAAGCCACAAGGAGAGGGGAAGTGATTTAAGAAAAATATATAGATAGTCATGCAAAAGTTTAAAAAATAACAAGCAAAATGCTCACAATAAGTATGAAACCATTTAAGGCTTGAAGGAAGATTAACCACCTGCAAAAATCAAGAAATATAATGGAAATGTCATTTGAGATGGGTCTAGAGGAATCTAGTTTGAAGATTAAAGCAAAGGAGATAATCAATCTCCTTCAATTGTTATTCTCCAGGTTTAGATGCTCATTCCATTTCACTTGATGATACTCTTTTGCCAACTTGTTTCTGCACTTCAACTTCATAAACTTTCTGCTACTTGACCTCTACTGAGAGTTAATCATACTAAATTAATCACTATTTCCTTGATAAGCAAAAAAATTAATTTTTTTTAAAAAAATCACTTTATCTCTACTCATTGTATTTTCTCTGCATTTTTCATATTTTTTCCCTTCCCTTAAGCAGATTGCAAATGAATAAAGAAGGCTTAGTTTAGTTTCATTGTGTTCCTTGACCACAAGACGAATAAGTGTGTTATTGCACAGGTATTTCTGAAATATCTTTGCATATTCTTTGATTATTGACTCCCATATTGTATCATTTTCTTTATGAGCTTGTCCCTCCAAGCAAAGTGTGAAATTTCTAAGATGGGGCAGTGGTTAATGTCGTTTCCTCAGGCACAATTGTCAAGTGATTTAAGTATTTCTGTGTCTGTATGTACCTGATGGAATCAGTTCCCTACGGAAAGAACAGTATGTGTCAATGTAAAGCTTCTATAGCAGGGTTCATATAAGCAATGGTTGGTAATGAATAGCAAACTCTGGGTTCTTGGGTTGCCTCTTCCTCTGACATTGTAAATCACTAATAGGAGCACACCTAAAATTAAGGTCATGCAACATGGAAGTGCACATACTGCTACAAATCCATAATAGTAGTTCACCACTATATAATTCTCTCTGCGTTTCAATATGCTTTGCCAGTCATCATCTAAATGGTTTTCTTCAGCGGCGGCCTAAGGTGGCCATGCATTTTTTTCCCGGAGATCAGGGAAACACCTCCTTCTTTCAGATTGTGAGAAAAAAATGGGGCTTTCCTGCTTCTGAGAGCGGGGATTCCCTCTCAAAGAACGTGCATCCTCCACCCCGCCCACCCGCGCTGAAGGCTACCCAAGCCAAGGAGCCTCCAGGAACGCTCTGGGCACCTTGCACCCCGCTACCCAGAGAAGGGTCTGGAGCCCCGGAATTCGCTAATTAGCTCGCCCCCATTGGTTGTCCCCAGGAACCCCCATTCTGTCACTGTGTTATGCTAATGAAGGGAAGGCTCATTGGCTGGGCCTCCAGCAACAGCTCCGAGGGACGAGTGCAGGGAGAGCCGGGTTGGCGGCTCCTGGGGCTAAAACCCCACCGGGTTTCCTCCTGCCTTCCCTGGGCCGTGCTGGTTGCACGCCCTCCCCGGGGACCTGCAGCCCCGAGGATGCCCTAGCTGGAGGCTCTTTTACCTGCCTTTAGGAAAGTGCCTCACCTTCTCAGGGCGCTAACTTCCACCCCTCTGCCCTCTTTCTAGGCACCGCGCGTTTTTTCTTTTTTCTTTTTTTTTTCCCGGAGAAGTAACTTTTGCATCCCGCCTCCCCCCCAGTCCTGGGGACCAGAGGCGGTGCCGAGCCTGGGGGCGGTTCCTTGGCAGCGTTGATTCTAGTCGGAGCCAGACTTTTGCTCCAGGGCTGGGTTTGCATCATCCCATCACACCCTGGGGAGAGAGGAGCCAGCCCCCTTTCCAGCCTCGGCTTCCGGCGCTAAGGCGACCCCTCCCCCTCCAGTCCCCTTCCCCTCCTCGCATCCCTCTTTCTTTTGGCCTTAGCATTCTACCCATCTCCTCGCTCTACCCCCGCAACATCTTCTTTCTTTCTCCTTCCTCTCCCCCATTTGTTGTTTGATGTTTCCCACTCTTTGAGGAAGAATGGTTGATTTGGAGAGCGAAGTGCCCCCTCTGCCTCCCAGGTACAGGTTTCGGGATTTGCTGCTAGGGGACCAAGGATGGCAAAACGACGACAGGTGAGTGGTGTGGTGCAGTGTTGTTCTGTAAATACTGCTGAAAAAGAGACGGAGATGGGAGGGCTGGAGAGGGGGATGGAGAGAGCCGAAAGGGAGACGGGAACACTGGGCGAGGGAGTAAAAGGGACTCTGACGTGTCTCTCCATTTTGAGTCTATAGAGCCAGTTGCTATAGATGAGGAACTCTTTGCCTTTCCACTTTCTTATTCTTGCAATGTATTTATTGCATTTATTCGATGCTAATTCTTTGTCTGTCTGTGCTTTCCTCGGGTGTGTATAAGGCTGTTATCAGAGGTACCAGCATCCAAATGGCACGCAGTATCAGTGCCTGAGAATTTTCACTGTTTTTCTTAGGTGTGGTTAATCCATCTCAAAAATTTATCCAAGTTGATGGAAAAAGCACTTTGGAAACTTAAAATCCCCTGCACCTATTCCCTCATTTCTTGTCAGCTTTTTCTTGACTAGGTGTCTACTTGTCAGTAGGAATTTTATACTGTTTAAACATTTGGAGTTCTAGGTAGACAGTTGGTTTTAAATACGTAACAGGTACTTGGTGGATATAATAACCACTAACCTAGAAAATATTTACTTTGAACAGGTAACTGTGACTGATAATGATGTCTCTATAGCATGATGCCTTTCTATGATTAGTATAATTTTAACCTAAACAGTTTGTCTCAAAATAAAGTTTCACAACTAGAATAATTATGAGGAAAATATCGCTCATGTGTTTTAGCAATCGCACTGCTGCTTTGTTCAGTTGAACTTATGAAATACCTCTTGGTATCTCTGTCTCATTATTTAAAGAGCACTGTGTTTCATTGAATTCAGTATTTTCTGGAATAGTCATTTCATGTATCACATGCCACACATGTTTTTAAAATAATATGTGTGCTAACTTAGCTCTGAGTTCAGTTGAAATGCTTTCCTGAAGTTCAGTTTGGTGTTAATGTTCTGTTTGAATTAAATAAAAGATCCACTATTGGTCCAATTAGGAATCCCCCTGCAGTCACACTGTGCAGCACACCTTTCTTCCTTTCCTTACTTGATGGACTTCCAATGTTAACTCCTAATCCAGTAACTGGGGACTTTATCTTGGACATCAGTTATGAACATCTTCCTTGATCTCATATTACTAATTTCAAATGGATATTTTGTAGAGGATAATATTTCATTTAAATCTCTTCTTTTTAGGCAAAAATGTATATGTTGGTTAAAAATTTAATGAAGAAATAACCTGAGGTATTACTCAGAATGCTTGTGAATTAGGGTATTCTGGTTAACTGCATATCATTACAAGAATATTTAAACAAGTTTATAACGCTAATTGACATGTAGATAAACTGTATTAGCTTAGTTAAATGATTGTTCAAAGGCAGATTAATGTTTATTGAGATTGAATTTATATTTATTTCAATACCTTAGGATCATCAAGTAGAATGGAAATCTTCATTGTAGAAAGTGTGAGGTGGGTTGACTACAAGAAGGGCATACTTTGGCCAAGGTTTGCTTTTTAAGTGTAATCTCCAAGATGTTAATTATTCATGTGTTTGCCCTTTTTTTTTTAAGGATGTTGCAGATAATGTCAGTAGTTAAGTCTTTTGTTTAAATAGGACCTAAAGAAATCACTGATATATTGAAAAGTTTTGCACAGTCATTTAAAATTTCTACTGTAATAGAACTTATGCTAGCCCAACTTTTAACTTAAAAATTAAGCCACATTTACTACACAATTAAATATTAAACATTTTAAAATGTTTGACCATTTGAAAAGATGTAACTGATTTTGTGGTTTTATAAAAATTAATACTGCCAATTGGGTTCCAAACTAAATCTTTATTGTTAATCTTTGAAGGCAAGATCCTTAGACTCAGATAGCCCCAGATTTCAATCTTACTGAGTAGTCTTGAGAAACTAATTTAGCCATTATGAGAGGCAGTGATTTTATTTTTGTAGTGGGAATATATGCCTCATAAATATCTATCTCATAAAATTGTGACAAGAAGGAAGAAGAAGAGGCACAGGACTAATAGTTGGTACTAAGACTGCCAAGTGCTTTACTGTGCTGTGTGTTATCTCAGTCAATCAATAGATAATCCCTGAATTTTAGGTATTTTACAGAAAAGGAAACTGAGATTCTGGGAAGTTAACTATTTTTCTTGGTTCATATATATTAGGATAAATAAGACTTGCGCTCAATTCTTTGTGACTCAAATTTCTCAAGAAACTCAAGAAAAAAGGAAACTTTTCAGTTTTTCCCCTTAACTCATTGAATTTGTGTCAATAATATTATAGCACCTAGCATGATTCGTTAAATATTGGTTCCCTTCTTCACTTCTGATTTGTAGTTTGGATTTTTTTTCTTCCAGGATCCTAAACTAATTTGCAGTAGGTAAAGCCATCTCTTTTATCTTTAATAAGGTGAAAGATTCCTCTTTGCAATTAAATCTGAGTAGCAATCTTATTCTACTCAGTTATCATCTTGGATGGATTTCCTACAGAGTTGAACACGGAAGACTTTTAGATATGAGTAGGTAAACAGCTTCCACCAACTAATTCTTTAAGTGCTCTGCTCTTGTTCCTTATGCTACTTTCTATGAATGCTTTGTTTCTGAGGTTCTCTCTCCCCTGCTAACTTCAGAAGCATACTACACCTACATAGTGGAGAGCAAGCCAAAGTGCCCCTGAGTAAGTAGGGAATTGTTTATTAAATACCTCAGGTGCCTTGCTCCTTGATTGAGATCATTCTGAAGCCTGTTCTACCTGGTGTCCAGAGGACTAAGCTCCAGGTTTTCACATTGATAACTGGCTTAATACTGTGAGTTTGCTGGTTTGGAACATTCCTTTGCCCTACTATTACTTTCTGGAGTCAATGCCTAAATAAACTTCTTATTCTTCAGTCTTAGCTGAAGTTCCACTTCTGGGGGAATCTGAATCAAGGGGTCTGTCTTCTTCATTTAGAGTTGTATACTACAAAGGATGGGGGAATTGAGTTCCACTGTGAGAAGACAGACACTTTCTACTTGATACTTGTTTTTTGAAATTTAAGCTAAACTTTAGTAGAATATGATTGATTGATGTGAAAATAAGTGAGGCATATGATAGTTGAATGGAAAGGTGTTGTGAAAGAGAAAATATTGATGAGCCTTTTAGGATACAGAAAGTGTATATTCCACACCATAGACTTTCTTTGAAACAACCTTGGATAGAGAGGTCTCCTAAATTTATATTGTGTTACCTTTTGGTAGGTAAACATATCCTCCAACACCTATATGTAATAAATGTATAAAACACACATATACACACATAGATATAGTATGTGTAACAGATATGTAAAGGATATTTAATACATTTAATGGATACAGACGCATTATCTCAGTGCTATCCTTATATAACTACCTCTACTTTAGTTGCATTCTGATATCTGAGTAGAAGGAAACTGAGTTAGACACAGCAGTGCAGAGAATTTAGCACTTGGATAGCATTAGTTCTGGGATGCCATGAAGTAAGTTTGAGGGCTGCTAAACGATCAATTACTTATGCCTTGGGGATGTCTGCTATATCAAATGTACATATGATGCACGTTGATTTCTTTGGCCTCCTGAGTTAAAAACAAAAATCTATTACAATGCTTTAAATGTCTTTAATGGCCATTTATCCATTCAGTAATACTTGAATGCTTGCTGCATCTCAGTGCCTCATTAAGTTAGGTTTTGGAAAAAATGCAGAAATATGAAACAGTGCTTCTAGCTAAGGAGGTGGCCTTCGATGTAATTAGAGGTGAATTTTCCCCACAACAATGGCAGAGTTGTTTATGTTATGATGATGTCCTTGTACAATTTCTCTTTTAAGACTGTCAAGAAAATCCTTGATTATTTGTAGATAGTATATTCAGCATTTGCTTGAAAATAAAGTAGCCAAAGTCATCACATGAGCAATGGCTCAAGGTATTCAATTTATTTTGAATATGATATTTAGTTTTCATTCTTATCCTATGGTTGACATATGAGTAGAGATAATCTAGCTGATTTCATATGGAAGACATTCTGTGATATGTAGACTTATTGTAGTATTAAAATCTATTGTTTTTTTGTTTTGTTATTTGTACGATTTATAAAATAACAGAGATTTGGAGTATTCTTGTGCAGTTAAAGATAGATAAGTGTCAGGTTTTTAAACACCTTCAGACAGTTAATACAAACCCTTCTCCTCTTTCACCATTGCTTAGTAATTTTAAAGTTTAGAACACATTGCACTTCATGTGAATAAACTTTCACAATTCCAATTACGGTCAATGGATCATTCTCACCTGTAGTTTTAAAAGAGTAGGCCATTTATTTAATTAAGACCATTCTCATTTTTGAAAGTCAGGTCAATGGTTTCAACTTCAGTAATTTTAAGTATATCTCTTCAGGTTTTATAGGAGCGTTTAAAAGTAATGCAAGTAAGTCCCCTAGGATTAAACCATAAAAGGATTTGAACAAAGAGTACAAGTCAATTAACAACTTAAGAGGTATTGTAAAATAGAGAAAATATTTGAATAGCTTTTGGAGTATGTGCAATTTTACTTATTATAGGTTGCAAAATATATTACCGTATGCAGTAAAATTAAGGGAAGGGGTTTTCCATTGGCATATGGGACAAATTTTATCTCCCAAAATAAATTATATTTTGTTTTGCGGAGTAGCCATTTATCATGGAGTATTTTTTCTAAGTTTGCAAGTTCAGGTCAATAAATATGCTTTTAAGATATTTTGAGTGCCATTAAATGAATAAACTTTTTTTCCTTTTTACTATTTAGTTGTATAATGGAATTACCCACACACATATGCAATATCTGTAAAAATGATTTAACATTTATTTTTCTAAAAATAATCTAGAAAATTGTGTGCATTTAACACTGTCAGTTATACTAAGATCAATTTTTGTGAATAAAGCAATAAAAATTAGCAACTGAGGTAGACATTGGTGCCAAAGACCCTTTAAATATATACAATGTAA